ACATAGAAGTTATTCATGACTGCAATTAGTTTATCATTTATTCATTTATTGTTTAATCACGTCATTAAAATTCAACAATACCACCTAAGTCTAGTAGGGCCCTCTGGTTAATTTTCAAATGGATATTAAGCATGTACCACCAGGCGGTACACACAATCAGATGTCTGCTAGGCCAGGTCTGCCATTTACAGTGCAGATGCCCTGCGAAGCTATTGGGCAGTATATTGGGCCCATTCCCATGTTAATATAGAGAGAGAAAAACCAGCCAAACATAGTATTCAATCTTCATCAGGGGTGAATTATATAGGTTAATGAAAAAGAAGTGATTCTTTTTAAAAAAAGATTTATTTATTTTGATGTGCATTGGTTGCCAGGATGTATGTCTGTGTGAGGGTGCCAGATCCCCTGGCACTGGAGTTACAGACGGTTGTGAGCTGCCATGTGGGTGCTGAGAATGGAAACTGGGTCCTCTGGAAGAACAGAGGGTGCTCTTAACCACTTAGCTATCTCTCTAAATTATTCTTAAATCTGTTTCATTTATTTCTAATTCATTTTCTGGAAGACCAAAATATAAATGCTAACTTGTTGAGCCTGGGACTTCCGGGCAGCTTCAAGGAACAATTCACCTTTCTAACCCTACCTCTGCTTCAGTCTGCCACATCCCTCGGAAGCCCCACTAAGAAGCCCTTTCTACGGCTATAAAAACATAATCTGTCAGCTCCTGAACGCCAAGTCTGAGCCTGCTACCTTCAAAAGCCGCTGGTTCACACGCCACCACATCTGTCAGGCTGGCTCTGTTTCTACTGTCCTGAGGGCTGACCCTTGGATCTCGTGCACGCTGGGCAAGCACTGCATCACTGAGCTGCACCCCAGCCCAACGTGATCCTCAACACTCCGTTAGACAGTGCGACTTTCAATAAAAATAGCATGTACTCTAATGACCTGTTGCCTCACTGGGAGGCGTTCCTCACTGGGAACACTCGTCCCCACTTTGAACGCACTCATGCTTAATAGCCATTTGAAAATTAACCAGAGGGCCCTACTAGACTTAGGAAAACCCAGCTGCCATTGTTTCTTTAAGTGCCTATAAAAACAAAACCAAAATATCACAAGAAAAGTTTGAACGTCTTCAGGTAAAGCTTTCTTCTCAGACTCAAGACGTCTTCTTGAGTTTCAAAGGGAGATACTAAAAATTGATTGTTATGACTTTGCAGATTATTCTACAGTTGAGTAACATCAATGACCTAAACTATAACCTTCCTTATGAAACCAAGCTTCCTAAACAAAAGCAGTAGTGGAAAACTCGCCATCTGGACCCAGTGAGACAGAGATGGATGTCACCTGCTAACTGTTTCGGGGTTGTGGCACACTGAAACGCTTTGGGGGGGAGGTTTTACTCCAGCTTTGAGTAGTGAGCCATACCCATAATCCTAGCACCCCAGAATTCCACGGGTAGGAAGATGCTTTGGCAAGAAAGGGGCAAGCTTGAGGCCAGCCTGTGCTATATAGAGTTCTAGGCTATCCTGGACTAAAATCCTATCTCAAAAACAAACAAATAAACAAAATAAACAAAACAACTGCCCCAAACATTAGAACATTTCAGAGTGACTCACACATCCTCCTTCCGAGGAAATTACTCTTTAGACACAAAGGCAAATGGTGACACACGTGGCCTATAGTTCTGTATCCAGAAGTCCCCTTCCTCCCTCCTTCGCCCTCAGATTCCTCCCTCCATTCATCCTTCCCATCCTGGAGCTTCCCAGCGCCTCTCTTGACCCTCTTCCTTTCCCTCTAGTTACCACGCAACTCCCGCTGACCCTCAGAAAAGCTCAATTTGCAGAGGTAAAGACAGGGAAAAGAGAAGGGGCAGACATTGTAAAAGGAAAGGAAGTAAAGAAACCCTCGGCTTACTAAGCAGCCTCCGCACCCTTCCCTCCTTAACACTCAGTGTTTTGAAACGAGGGCCCTCGTAGACACTCAACTGCCCCCTAATTTCCTCATTCTGCCTCACTCCACCACAAAGCCTACATGGCCATCAGCTATTCCTCTGAGATAACGGGTCTTCAGTCCCACCCAGGCCAATGCTACAAGCCCAGCCACAGCTTGCACCTCAAAGGCTCACAAGGCAGGGTCTCTGTGAGTTCAAGGCCAGCCTGGTCTAAAAAGTGAGTTCCACAACAGTCAGGGCTTACACGGATTAAAAAAAGAAAAGAAAGGAGAGAGAGAGAGAGAGAGAGAGAGAGAGAGAGAGAGAGAGCGAGCGAGCAGTGGCTAACTTTTAGCATGAGTTGGGGATTAAACGCTTTACCTCCACTTCCAACACCATACTTTGAGGAAAGCAATGAGTTGCAAATATTCAGATTTATGAAATCCCTGTGTTGTAAAGAAGGTGCCCATTGAGATACCTCCAAGTTAACCAAATAGATTTACTTATTTATTTGCTTAAATATCCAGACTCCAGAGCCAGTGACACTCTAACCCAAAGTCCTGGAGAAGACCCAGAGTCCCTTCCCTGAGGGCTGACACTGTTGAACACTCTCCTGATGACTTCGCAAAGAAAACTTTAACGTGCTAGGCAAGTAAGCACTAGACTGCTGAACTACAGGCCGGGCCGGGATCCTGCATTTTGAATTAATTATTCCAAGGCACGGGTCTCCATTTTCAGCAGACAGACATACCCTCAGGGTTTCCACTCAAAATCTCAGCTCTCAGCCTCTCATTTATCTCATTCCATGTTGCTAGGGTCTTCCTCGTTGGAGCCTTGCAGTTTACTTTCTCTGACTAGTCAACTGTTTACAAAAGGAGCAAGTTCTTGGGCTTGAGTCCGACTCTATGGCTGAAAACTATGGGTTCAGCTGCCACAGTTTAGGTTTCTTGAAGTACACTGAAGACTCCCTGTGCATGGCTTAAATAAAATTCTCTTTGGAACACGAACTTCAAAGTCAGAAGTGGCCCACCCTTCGCCAGGCCGTCCAAGACAGCTTCTGGACCATCCAGTGCCCCCTTGGCTTCCTGGGGTCTCCAGGAAGAACTCCCCTTAGGAATGCCTGATCAGCTACACTGGTAGGCCATCTATATTAGTCCTTCCAAAGGCTTCCCCTCAAGCTAGCAGCAGACCAGACAAACGAGTTCCAGAAATGAAGAACCCATATCAGAGATAGTGGTAAACCCTGGGGACTCAAACCCAGCCAACAGGGAACAAGCCCCAAGGGTCAAGCCTCCCATTATAAGAAAAAATATTATCATAGCCAAGGAAGGACAGCAGCGTCTCTAAAGAAACAAACCAAACTCATCACACACACGTGCATACATACACATGCATAAGTAATACGCAAAATTGGTTAAAAATACCAATAAAGTTACTTCATAGTAGAATATCACCCATTTGAAAACACATAAATTCTTCCACTAGTTCTGTCAAACTGAGGAAGTTTAGTTTGACACTCACTAAGGAAGAGGTTTTTGCTTACATACTAACATTTAGGAATAGAAAAGTAAAAAAAAATTGTGGCGTCAGCTGAGAAAAAACAGGCAAGGGAATTAAAAGGCCTTTTACAGGTAAAAAGAGGAAAGGTAAAGGTGATGATAATGAAAAACACCGTGAGAGCATCTGAAAATTGACATAACTCAAAGCAATCTGCTTCACTTGAGGTTCCAATTTGCTTGACAATTTTATTTATTTAACTCACCCACTAATTCACACCCCCCCTTTGGAATCCCACTATGTGCTCGGGATGTTTCTACAAGTCTCATTTTCAGACTCAAGTTCTCAGGGACCATGTTCGCAGCCTGAGGATCATCTGAAGACTTCACAATACAGAAGAAACACTGCAAACGCAAGGCAAAGGCTACTCTGCAATCACGGAGAGAGAAGGCAGGTGGTGTTTATTTCCTGCGCTTCTTTTCATTCCTTCTTGCCCGTGCCCACTCCACACCACAGAGCCTACTGGGCTCCCTGTTTGCCCTTATATATAGAATAAAAAGCGAGAGCCAGAACTCTTCAGGGCACTTAAAACTGAATGGCATTTTCTTCAGTAGTGTAGCCAGCTCACTGCTGAGGTGTCTATGCGCCAGTAAATAACTCCCTGTTAACTCATACTCATTCAAGCAACAGCCATTAAATTTAATAGGTCACACAAAAACAAAGTCCGCACAGATCAAAAGGACACATAAATAATGTTTGTGGGGACTTGTCGGGAAGAAAAAAGGGGTCAGTGGAAGTGGGGAGGGATAAGAGAGAGCTATGGAGGTGAAAATGACAAAAAAAAGTACATTATGTACATGTATGAACTTGTCAAAGATTAATAAATACTTTTTAAAAAACTAAATACAGAACATCAGATGCATCGATAAGCAATACGCTGTAAGTCAGACTGAGTGAGATACAAAATGCAAGGGCAGCACAGGATAATAGGCAGTTTAGTAGGAAGCAAACACTTCCTGCTACCACCTCCATGAAGCCAGGGACGGAGAAGCTGAGCCGCTGAGGATGAGTAAAACGGCAGTAAGAGAGATGGAATCGATTGTATGTCCACAAAAGGAGGAAGACAACCATCCCCTGAATTTCCCTGTGATTATCTGAGGTCAGCAAATAAAATACACGCTTGAGGAGCGGAAAAATCTAGAGTATTCCAACAATGGCACCTTATATAAACGCATGGATTTCATAACTTCGTAACCGTCACTGAATGAACCAATTTCCTGCCTACGGTTCTGCATTGGTGCATGGGGATCCTGGGGCTCTATCTAGGCCATCCTTGCAGTAGTCACATCGCTGCTATTTCAAGGCTTTGGATTGGCTATGAAAGTAGGGATTATAAGCTTGCCTTGCAATTGTATAACAGATAGAGTCTGAACACAGAACTGCTTTCATCTCCCTTCTCTCAATCAGCTCCTCCGTAAGTGACTTTCCTCTCTGCTGTCCTCTATCACAGAGTGGTTGAAGGCTAATTACCACGGCGCACGCGAAAGTGCAGGTCTAGCTGACACCTACGTATTACCTGGAAGGTGGATGTCTAGGATCAAGTTGCAGCTGGCCATCTGGAGCATCATAGGGCTCTTCTACTTCATACAGATTTGCGTCCGTGTCCTCCACACTGCTGGAATTCTGCCACCCCAACTCTGGAGCCTTCCCTCCAGCCATCACGAATGGCAAATTTTCATATTCAGGAATCTCCTCATAGTGGCGGACATTTTCATACTCTGGTGCGCAGTTCCTTGTATTGGGGGAGTCCCTGGAGAGCATCCGGTCATCCAGAGACTCAGCTCTCTGACCATTGGCTGCTCTGGTCTGACCCTGAGATTTCCCCTTTGGAGACCCCAGGCTGCAGTTTTCTGCAGAATACGCCTTGCTGGGTTTACTTCTCTTTTCTTCTCCTGTCACCAAACCTTGCCAATCACTTTCTAGCCCTTTCGGCTCTCTACTGAGCAGATGTCCTGTAGTGACATCCACTGGCTGGCAGCTTTTTGATCTAAACTTCTGAAAGTCACTCTTTATGAAGCCAATGGACAGTTTCACATTTATCAACTTTTTAAAAGAAGTTTTCTTTGGAGGGTCTTTGCAAGGTTTATCGCACCTGTCCGTCTCCACAGCAGATAGTGATTTTGCTCTTGGCTTGGTTAGGGAACTAGCAGGCCCATTATTTAAGGATAAAGGGACACGCTTCAAGGACTCTGGGCTCCCTGGGAAAGGTAAAATAGGATGAGGTAACTTCCACACTGGCTTTTCTGAAGTTGGGTTGGGTGTATCAAAGGATGACGGTGATACACCACGGTTTGAGGGGCCCAGTGGTTGAGGGTGATTTCTTTGTAGACCTTTCTCTGAATTTGTTGCTTTGCTTGACAAGTAAGAATTTTTTTCTACGTGTTCCTCGGAAGCAGCCTTCTTAAGCACCCCTGCAGCGGGCAGGCTGTGTCTCTGAGGTTTTTTGGGAACAACTCTAGAGGAAGATTCCTTTTGTACTTGAGGAACAGACAATTCCATGTTACAGGTAGCTGGCGGGTGTTCAGTGCAGGACAACTGGGCTTGCTTAGGCAAGCTCGGAGACTGAGTACTGCATTGTAAAGTAGTCTCTCCCTCCACGGCAGGTAACATTCCAGAACCACCTTCTGTTGTGCTATCAGGACTCAAAATAGAGTCTGCATCTAAAGAAGGCGTCGCTTTTTCAGAGGAAGACGTTTCCTGACATACAGCTTTCTGGGAGCTGACGGAGTCTTGTCTGTCACTCCTGGGACCGCTAGTCAATGCCCTTTTATTTGCTGGCTTCGCTTTGTCCACTTGTCCCTGGTTATACAAAACGTTCTGATGAAGAACACTGACTTGATTGTTTTTCAAACTATCTTCAAGGAGACAAGAAGAGCCATTGTTTGAGTTCTCTGGCTCTTCGGTGCTTTCACTAGGAGTATCTACACACTTCTGGCGAAGCAGACGAGCAGCGTGTGTCTTTCTGGGCTTGGGAATTGGAAACTTTGAGGTATGAGGTAATAAGTGAATTTCTAAAGGACCGAGATCTGTGACGTCCGTCTTCTTACTAGTTCCCTCGGAAGGCGTCTTCTTGTCATCGAGTTCGCCGGAAACCGAGTGACTGCTGCTCTTAGCGCCACCAGCTTGACAAGTCTCGAGGTTCTGAGATTCATCCCTAGGGGGCTGTGGGTGGCAGCTGTGATGAGCAGGAACTTTTTCAAAACGGGACAGGGAAGGGGACAGATCTGTCAGTTCAAGTCTGATCTGTCTGCTGCAACTGCAGTCGCCATTTATTTCTGTGTTGGTTGGAGACCTGTGCTTCTTCGGGGTGCTACGAGGTGACTGCTGTTGTGTTAAAACCTCTTTGAGCTTCTCTTCTAAGATGCCTGCCTTTAAAATAACTCCACTCTGGCTCCAGTCCTTTTCACCACTCGAATCCCACCTAGTCCTCCTCTTTGCAGTTAAAGAGGACTCACCGTTTTTACTATTCTCTAAGTTTTCTTTCATTCCCAGAGGCTCTAGAACGAGCTGCTTTGCACATAGACTTCCTCTATCACACCCAGAACTGCAGGAACACGTTGGTAAAATGGAATCACTGTGTGCATCTCTGGCATCTTTGCAATTAAACGTGTCAGTGCCCTCCAGTAATTCTGGCTCCCGCTCCTCCAGGTTCAAAGGGAGTTTCTTTGAGGGTGACTGCTTGATGTCTTGAACAACTGAGTTTGTCAGGGCTTTTGGTTTTGGTGCAATTGCTGGTTTGGTTTTCTTTGTTAACCGTGGAACACTAGCATTTACGATGTCCGGTTTGGGTGCAATGGGAGGGGGAGGTGGCCTGCTATTTGTCCCCACTAACTTTGGCTTGGGAGCCAATGGTGGCTTCTTAAGTTCTAGAAAGGAAAATATAATAATTAGAGCTAAGAGGATATAAAAATGCAGACCATTTTCCTGTTCTTATTTGTTTTCTGTCGCAAGGTCTTGCTATGCAGTCCTGGCTGGCTTGCTATCGACAACATAGCTCAGCCTGGTCGCAAACTCACAGCCATACTTTCTAATGCTGAGATTACAGGCATGCACTCCCACACTTGCTGAATAAAGTTTTTTTAAACAATATGACCTTTCTGACTTCTCAGAAAATTAGGAAACAACCTTCCTCAATACCACTTTTGGGTATATATCCAAAGGATGCTCAATCATGCCAAAAGGACATGTGCTCAACTATGTTTATAGCAACATTGTTTGTCATAGCCAGAACCTGGAAACAACCTAAATGCCCTTCGACCGAAGAATGGATAAGAAAAATGTGGTACATTTACACAACGGAGTACTACACAGCAGAAAAAAAATAACATCTTGAAATTTGCAGGCAAATGAATGGAGCTAGAAAACATCATTTTGAGTGAGGTAACCCAGACCCAGAAAGATAATTATCATATGCACTCACTTATAAGTAATTTTTAAACATAAAGCAAAGAAAACCAGCCTACAAATCACAATCCCAGAGAACCTAGACAACAATGAAGATCCTAAGAGAGACATGCATGGATCTAATCTACATGTGAAGTAGAAAAAGACAAGATCTCCTGAGGAAATTGGGTGCATGGGGACCATGGGAGAAGGCTGAAGGGGAGGGGAGAGGAAGGGAGGGGAGCAGAGAAAAATGTATTAACTCAACAAAATGAATTTAAAAATGACCTTTCATTTTACTAGGCAGATTATATTATTTTATAGAGTCAACACTACTCTTGAAAACTCCTGAAATTGTCCTTAAGTTCCAGTGTAACACAGCTTTAGACGTACTGCACATTTCTTAGTTAACCCACTACCAATCTTCCTCTAACTTTGGCATTAATTAAATCACTGGCGTTTACTTGGCGACTCTATATAGTCTTGCCAGCTCATCCACTGGTACTAAGAGTTCCCCACAGTATGCAACTCTCTATTCCTCACATAAATCAGCAGCACTTGTCAGCAATACAGACAAGATCCGTGAAATGGCCTGTTATAAAGACTGTCTACCTGATAGAACCCCCAAAACATTCTGTAAAATGAATGTGGAAAACAGACATTTTTCTACCCTAAAAAGACTGAAAGTAAATTCTTTGGTATTAATTGATGTTTACAAAGAAGTGGTATTTCTCTGTCCAAGGACCAATTGGGAATTTCATTATATTTCTTCATAGAGCTTTGACACAGGCCCGGGCCTGGGCTCCAGATCAAATAACTGGAGAGTATCTGAACATAAAATCTGTACATCTGTATTTCTTTCATTTCCCATGGGTGACTGATTAAGTCTTTCATTCTTCACCAGTAAGCACCACGTGTTTGTGTGATGTTCTACTGAGCAAGGGTCTCATTGTATAAGTCAGGTGGGTGCCAGGCTACATCCCTCTGCTGTAGCGTCCTAGGTGCCGGAATTGTGGTCTGCAGCATCAAGCCCAGCATTAAAGGATGACCACAAGTTCTGGTGTGGCAACTCTTCCTCACATTACACGCCAAGTGTTCCATCAACACCTATTATACAATGCTGCATTTGTGCAGGCCGGCTCTCAGCCTTCAGGACCTTGACAACAGCCTTATATAAAGGACCATACTAAAGGAGCTAGAGGGAGGACTGTATGGCTAAGAGTACTTTCAGTTCAATCATGAGGGGCAGAGTTCAGTTCCAGCAACCAAGTCCACAACAACCTGTAACTCCAGCTCAAAGGGGTGTGACGCCCTCTTCTGGCCTTCACAGGCACATGCATTCACATCTGAACATACACCCAAATAGACACACATATAAACAAAACAAAATAATTCTTTTTTAAAGACTCTAATAAAACTGAAAATGATACACAAAAATTATATTTCTTTTAAATTCCTTCAGGATCTTCTACTTGTCAATCATGCGCCCCCAAGTGGACTTGAGTTCAAACACATTTTATCTTACACTTCTTTTTCCCCTCAGTTTTTCAAGACCAGGTTTCTCTATAGCTTTGGAGCCTGTCCTGGAACTAGCTCTGTAGACCAGGCTGGCCCTGAACTCAGAGATCCGCCTGCCTCCCATGTGCTGGGATTAAAGGCGTGCGCCACCACTGCCTGATTTATCTCACGCTTCTTAAATTAGCTTCTTCAACAGGATCTAATATTTAATTTTAAAAAAGAAAAAAAAACATTTATAAAACAATCTCAAAATGCAAGGACTGCTCAACATTGTTTCATTTATTTGCACACAGAGAGACTTTGACATTTCATTTGTGTTGATTTTCTTTTCAACAAAGGAAATTAGTCATAACGCTTGGAAAAAATATTACAGGGAACTGAGTAAAAAAAAAGGGGGGGGGAAGGCAGGGTGCCTTCCTTCCTCTTCCTAGGTAAAAAGGAACTTCTCAAACTCTGATAAAATGTGCACAGTCAAGGCTTTAGAACAGATGCCTTATCAGACTCAATCCCTAGGCATAAGCTTATCATAAGAAAGGCAACGAAGTTTCAAAACAATACAAGTTCCCAAAGCTGGCAATTTTCAGTTAGCTGTTCAATACACACATTATTAGCCCGAGGTTTGGTTCTTGTGGTTTTGGCAGTGCTGACACAGTATATTACATTAAATTCCCCATCCATCAAGTCAGACCTTAAGGGAAAGGACGGCTGCCTGAGGGCTTGCCCCAGAATCCCTCCTCATTCAATAAAAACTGACAGACTGTCATGTTGATTTCATTTCTGTCGTGCTTAAAACATCCTAGCGCTGGGATTTCTTTAAAGAATTAAAAATATGAGTTTTTACAAGACAAAATGAGTGCTGGAGATCAGCTACGAAATGTTCTTAATGTTACTGAACTGTACACTTAAAAATAGTTAAGACAGCTGGGCATAATGGTGCTTGCCTATAGTCCTGCGGCTTGCTTCTTAGGGAGCTGAGACAGGAGGATTGTTATGAGTTTGAGGCTAACCTGGACTATACAAAAAGTTCCTGTTCCAAAAAAACCTATAGATGTTAAGATGGTCTATTTTACCACAATTACAAAGAAATTCAGGTCAGCCGATGGCTCGCCAGATAAAGGTACTTGCCACACAAACCTGAGATTTGAGTTCAATTGCCAGAACGCACATAAAGGTGAAAGGAAAAGTTTCCACAAAGCTGTCTCCAATCTTCATATGCACACTGTGGCCTCCCCACACACACAAACACAATTATTGTGTGGTGACACACAACAACAATAATTTTCCAAAGAATTGTTTTTTTTTTTTTTAAAGAGACATTTTAGCTAGGTGGTAGTGGTGTGCACACCTTTATTCCCTGAGTTCAAAGTCAGCCTGGTCTATAGAACAAGTTCCAGGATAGCCAGGGCTACAGAGAAATCCTGTCTCGAAATACCAAAATAAACAAATACGGAAAAAAGGAAAGAAGGGAGGGAGGGAGGGAGGGAGGAAGGATGGAGAAGAGAAGAATGAGAGTTCTCATCTAATTAATCCTTTACTTTCTGATCTTCGAGTCTAGTCAGAAGGTCTGCAGTCATTTAATCAAGGCATTCTGCTTTTCATTGAGAACATTTTATTACTAGTTATTTTGTTGTTATTGTCTTGCCATGAATCCCCAAGCTGACTTCAAACTCTCCACCCTCCAGCTCAGCCTCCCGAAGCATTTTATTACTCTCTGGTACCAATTTTAGCCCTTCTCCCATCCTATCGCCCTGCCCCTCCCTACATCACAATCTCGAGTACCAATTCCAGTCCTTTTGAGTCTGCTTCCAAGAGACAAATTCCTCTTCTCAATGTCGCAGAAAGCAAGTTAAGAGCATATGAGCCAAGGCTGACTCCCCGGAAACACAGCAGCACAGCGTTATGATCTAAAGCCTGCAATGCATGCACACTCATTAACTAACTGTGAACCTGGGCTTCCTATTGTCTGTTACCAATGCATTCCAGTGGAAGAAGTCAGCGATATAACTCAGAGTTCAGCTAATTCATGGTCTTATTCTCTGGGTTCCCAGTGCTGACAGGGGGCTGAAGAATAGACAGCTGCCACACACACACCACTTAATATGTCTTCAGTGACAGAAAATTTCTTTAACTTCAACATCACATGGTGTTCTGGAAGCTAAAGAGATGGCTCAGTGGTTTAGAGTACAGTACATTCTGTTCTTATGGAAGACCTGAGTTCAGTTCCCAGCACCCATGCGACCAGGGTAGAGATCAGGGGATGGAGAGTTGGGAAAGGTTCCACAACTGTCTGTAACTCCAGTTCTAGGGAAATTCAACAACCACTCCTGAACTCTGCTGGCATCTGTGTTCACACATACACAAACCTCTACCCACCACACACACACACACACACATTTTTAAAATAAATCTTTTTCAAAATGATGTTTTGAAAAGGGAGCAGGATGAACTTCAATAGAATTATTGTGTAATTCCTTAATGACTAATAGGAGGAAGTGTTTGCCAAGTCCCTGGTACAGCAATATACAAAAACCTTTCCTTACTGTTTTTCTTTATTTTTAGTTTTTGGAGATAGGCTTTGGAATGTTCTGGATATCCCTGAACTGCAGTCTTCCTGGTTCGCCCTCTCTAGTACAGGGATTACAGGGATGCAATACCATGTCAGCCCCATTAATATTTTTTTTTAATTATCTCTCATTTGTGGGAGGAGGTAGCTATGAATTCCATAACACACATGTGTTAGATGACAACTTGAAAAACTGATTCTCTTGTTTCATCCTGTGGGTCCCAGGGATCAAACTCAGGTCATCAGCCTTGACAGCAAGAGCCTAACCCAATGAGCCATCTCACCGGCCCGCACTATTTTTAATGGCTCTATTCTGAAAGAAACATGGCTAAAAACAACACTGACAAGACACTATGTTGTGACCTGCTCCGGTGTCAAACCTCGAGATCAGTACACAATGTTTGGGAACGAATCCTGCACCTCTGGATCTTGACACTGTATTAACAATCAGACCCCAATGCTTCTTGGGAGCAAGGCAGCAAATCTTTTATTTACACAGCTGTTTGGCTCCAGGGAAATCTAAGGTAGAAAAGTCAAGCCCCGGTACCATTTTACTGTTATAAACAGAGTTGTCATCTGCAGCACACAGGTGGCCTTGGCTCTTCTGCCAGCCCCCAAAGCAAAGAGGCACAGGCGTTAATGAAACAGTGAAATGGACATACACACAATGATAGATAGGTGATTCTTATAATTATCTCCTTTTGTTCATATACTACTTAGAATGCTTCCAAAATCTCTTCTATGGGTTCACTCTTCAACAGCTGCAGAAAAATAACAAAACAAGCTCAAGTTCTTCAGGGCACATACCACTCCACTGCTGTATAACAACCCCTAAATTTTTGGTTTTTTTTGTGTGTATGTGTGTGGCTTTTGTTGTTTTTTTGTTTGGTTGGTTGGTTGTTTTTTTTTTGAGACAGGGTTTCTCTGTAGCTTTGGAACCTATCCTGGAACTAGCTCTTGTAGACCAGGCTGACCTCGAACTCACAGAGATCCACCTGCCTCTGCCTTCAAATGCTGGGATTAAAGGCTTACGCCACCACCGCCCGGCCACAGTCCCTAATTTTAAAAGAGGCCATCCTTCCCAAAAACACCGGAATAGACAAAAACAAACAAAAAAAAACAAAACAAAAAACCACTCTCTACTTCAAGAGTAACTTTCCACAAAGTTTTAATAAATTGCATTGTTCTGACCCACACACATGTGACTTGTGAGGGCAATGCATATGTAACTTTATCAAAAAGGGTGGGGGGGAAACCTCACTCCTCCTCAACATCCCCTAGACATAAGAAAAAGTTATAATAAATGTCAATAGACGGGTGAGCAAAAAAGTAGTTAATGCTTCTCGGCAACCCATGCTTTAAAAAAAAAATCAACTAACTCAGCTAGACACAGGAAGTGTCTCTTTTAAATACCACAAAAATGCTGTGGATTTCCTTAATTGTAAAGTTGATAAGTATAAAAATAGCTTGCCTTATTCTAGCGTAATTCGAAATGAAACAATCATAAACTTCCAGACCGAGCCCTAGAAATTCTAATTAATTTTCCAATTTTTATCTTAATTTAATGATACTAATTCAGGAATTTACCAAAGTTAAGAAGGTGAGGCACAGAAAGTTAGGCTGAAAGCAATCCACTGTGTAAGAGGAACGCCTCTTTAAAAAAAAAAAAAAGAGGGAGAAACCTTTGTAAATGACTAATAGTGCCCAACGATCACGTGAATGAATACACATAACATCAAAGAGAAAAGATCTACGTTTGCTACCGCGAACACTTCAGCCCCTAGCTTTCTTATTGCTACTAGTTTCTTGCTTGTTTAATGTGCTCTGATTATGCCTGGCAGTGCAGCTCTTCCAAGGCTTTAGAAATACAAATCAGAACATTTGGTGCGCTCTTTGACAGTTTCAAGTTGCAGGAATTTTAAACAAACGCCAAAGAAAGCAAGGAAAATTTAATCTGATACCGAAGTGCTTATTCTAGACGTAACTGAAGTGAAGCCTTGAACTCTTTTACTACAGAATTTCTCATCGAAGTTTCTTCAAATGTGAATGAAGATGTTTTAAAGAATATTCCATACCTTATTAATTCTGATTTTAAAAAAATAACTATAATAATAATAATAATAAGCTATGGTCTTATAAAGGGACCATAACGTCACCCGGGCACTTAAAATTTGGAAAAATAAAAATTGCCCCTTAAGAATGTTTCTCAATACAATGACCAGAAATGCCTAGATTCACACAAAGGTAAGCAGAGGCTTTGTCATTTGGGTGAGTGGAAAGGAGGCAGACAGAAAATGAGGCTTTGTTTACACTGTCGATGTACGACTAGAGGGGGGAAAAAGTTATGAAAAAGTGAAGATGAGAAAAAAAGGGGATTGGGTTTTTCGTTTGTTTCGGGGGGACTGTTGATTGGTTGGGGAGGGCTTGTTTTTTTGTCTTTTTTGCCATCTAATCGTACACTTTACTCTTCAGGTAATAGGACTCAAGACATCAGGGTGCGACCAGCTCTGTTTAAACCTCCTTACTAACTTAGCAAAGAGTGCCAATCAATAGCGACCAGGCTGGAAAGCAACTCAGGCTAGTAGTGCAATTAGTTCAACTCGCTGAAAACTGTCCTAGTTTAGAATAACTGAGTCCTCCGCGTCCGACTCCAAGCTTCCCGCACCGCGCACAGGCGACGGCGCCAGAGCACGGGAGCAAGCGCCGCGTCGCCGTCGCTTCACCTGGGCTCACGGGAGTGGGTGGGATCCCGGGGGACCCCGCACCGGACACCGGGGAAGGGGGAAGGACGACACCGGGGACAGCGGGAGCCCGCAGCAACTTCCCCGGCAGCCCGGCCACTTACCCGCGACCGAAGTCATGACTGCCCCGCGCCGCTCACGCCCTCAGTCCATGGCTCCCGTTCAGTCCACACTCCCCAGAGTTGGAGCAGGAGAGAGAAAACAACCCCGCAGAGACCACATTCCGTCCCGCACCCCGGAACGAAGTGCCTGAACGCCTCACAAAGGACAGACGCCGGTTCCCGCGACCCTCCGGCGTCCCCCGGGCGCCGCACAGCCCAGCGACAGGACGGTGAGCACGAGCGCCGCTCCGCCGCGCGGCCGGGG